ATTTCTTGTCCTGGAATTTCTTTTTTAAATCAAAGCTCAAGCAGCCCTGAGCGATTTTGACAAATTCTTTTTCGGAAAGAGGTACAAAACACTTGCTTCTTGCTGTTTTGAACCTTTGGAGAAAACTTTCTGCCCATTCGTTTGGCATTTGATGTAGATTCGCCAAATCAGCCAAAGTGACTTCACACTCAGTTTTATAAAACTGAGCGTGAAATAACTGTTCCAATTGTTGCCATATTTGAACAGAGTTCGCTGGCAAGTTGATGAACCAGGAGAAAGCTACTCCTGTTAATGAACTAGGGAAAAGCCTCATTTTATGGTAATCGATTACATCACCACTTTGCAATGTGAATCGCCCTATGTGTTCTAGGGTAGACACCTCTCCTAAACCGGTAAACAGTGAGAATTCTGGCACTTTATACCCTCTAGGCCATGGATATGCTTGTCTATCCAATCAGGATATGGCTTTGTGTAGATTGGCCTAATGACGGGACGCACCCCAAAAGCCATCTGATCCTGTACGATTTCCATAATCTGATTCCTCAACATGACGTTGGGGTCATATGGAATTCCTATAGGCTGGTTAACCGGTTGATTTGCATGAGGCCTGATGTTTGGTCCTTGATTGGCAACAAAGTTACCATGATTAGGGTCATTATCATTAGCCTGAACATCTATTCCCTCATTAACACGTGGGGTATTCTGTCCATTGTTTAGGACATTATCTCTTATATTTGGATTACCCCCCAAGTTAGGCATGCCATTACCATTGTTCTGATTTGGCACTGCAGTCCTCCCTTGGTTTGAAGTAGAGGGACCAGAAAGTGGTTCTATCCCTTGATTCGGATTTAGGACTGAGGGATTATGTCCCACAATTGTCCTAGTTTGAAAGTGATTTGCAAGAGGTATAACCGGTTGACATATTTGGCCTACTAACTTATTCATTGTTTCGTTAAAAGCGTTTAGTTGTTTGGCTATATTGTCATGATATGCATTCCCATTTTGGGCAAATCTTTCCATATTATGAATACTTCGAAGATTTACCTGTTCAACGACATCTTGTGTGAGTTCTCCAAGTAGTGCACACATGGTTCGAGGACTCAACTCTGTCATTGGTTCGTAACGACTGTTACTACTCTGATTCTGTCCATCTGTTCGTAGAGAGGCATGCTGCTCCTCATATCGCTTGATCACAGACTGGATTCCTCCCTGACTTGCTGCTTCCTTATCAGATCTCTGAGGCATATTGTTTCACCTTTTGTATTTTCAACACCAAACACCACTGTCCCACTGGGCGTGCCAAATTATTTCGCGCGGGTTAGTCGCTAACAATTAAAAGGGATCAGACGATTGTGTAAGGGACAAACCTCTTGAGACAAAGTCCCAAAAAGGGGTGTTCTTTTATTGGGAATGACTTTACAATTGGAAATTAAAAACAGAATGCCTCCAAGGGGCGCAAGCACACGAGTTACTGAAAGAAGTGTTTAAATCTAAGCTAAGGAATTTAAAATTACATGTTCTCTGTTCGAGAGTTTTTGATTCGGTCCTTTGCTCTATCTCTTTTCTTCCTTTTATACTCCCTGGATGATCTCTTTGTGATCAACCGCCTAAAAACTGTTTGATCGTTCTACAACCGCCCACGTTCCTCGTAATGGCCAACTTGTCATGGAACTGCCTTTTTTAACTGCTGCCATTACTCTTTGTCGTTCAACCGTTTTCGATTGAATTCCTTGAATCGTGGAATGTGATAGGGCTGCTTTAATAACTGCTTTGATAACTGCACTTTTTGATAACCACAACACTTTATGTTTGCTAAGACCTTGGGCGACTCGAAGGTTTGGGCGAGAATAGAGTAACAGCTCTGGGCGACTGCATGGCACTCCATTCGCTCAGATTCTGGGCGACTTGCAAACTTGGGCGATGGTGTTACCACGTTCTTGGACCTCCCTATTTGGGCCTTCATTTTGAATTGTTTGATTGGGCTTCGTTCTTTGGGCTATCTGATTTGGGGATCCTCCAATTGGACTTCATTCGTTGGGTCGTTCGATTTGGGCTGAATTTTTATGTGTCAACAGTTCTATAAAAAAAAGGGAAAAAGAGAGGAAAAAGTTAGAAGATATATGGAAATAAAGCTAGAAAATGAAATACTAAAAGTCTGATGCTTAAACTCACCAATGTAGTTTGAATACCAAAACCGTAAAAATTTGAGTTGAAAGAGTAGGGCAATCTTTCAGCTTTCCTAAGCTCGGAACTCAAGCTTAAAATAGGCGTTGCTAAGGGATGAAGATCGCTAAGAGCTTGACCTTCAAGGGTTCCTAGTTGTTTGAAGATACCAACACACTAAAGTGAGATAATATCAAAAATAAAAAATAAAAAAAAATCAACACTTACTATATTTGTCATCAAATCGAGGCATAACAACTGAAAGGCTAGGATCATTAGGCTGAAAAACCAAGGCCCCAGTTATCTCGAACAAAGAAAAAACTTTTCTTCAGTTATGCAGCTTATTAAGAGTAATTACAAATTTTGGGCATATCCTAGAATGAGTAGAAAGGTAGTTAAGATAATAAATAGATTGAAATATATTGATGAAAGCTCTCCCTCTAAACTCACGAAGCTCCACAATATATAAGACTCCAGCTTACTCAATTCAAAGTAAGTTAGGTAAGAGCAATGTTAAAGGAAGGAAGAATCTCGTGAAAAAAAATGATGGAAATTGTTAGTTTTCTATTTTATCGGCAATTTTTTAGACAAAATGAAGTCAAGGAGCCTGCTGAGATATTGTAATCAAAGTTAAATTATTGAGTCGTAATTATAGCAAAAGAGTTGGAATTGGTAGCATAGTCTTTTAAAGAGTCCAAGATGTCTAAGAAGATCACATATAATCATTGGAATGCAATTAGAAGTCTAAAGGATATCAAATAGCCGTACAAGTTATATTTTAAGTTCTCGATCGTAACTTGCAATGCATTTTTCATATAGAAAACATTGGAATTTGGATAAGGCTATTAAGAAGAATTGTAATCTTTTAAGTTAGTTTTTCAACACATTTTGAATCATCTCAATCGGACATCGGGAGAGCAAGTTATGAGAAAAATACTGACAACTCCTTAGCTTGCCCACATGTTGCTAGCCTATCGCTCGAGCGACAGGTCTACGACCAGACTTCTATTTTGGTTCAAACACTTGGTTTTTCAATCATTTTCATCCCAAAACACTTTCTCCTATATATATCCTACCTTATGAACATCCAAAAGTGTGGTTGTTCATTGTGTTGCCTCTCTATATCATTCCTTGAAGATCCAAGAGCACATCCAAACCTTGACTTCAATCATTTGGTTCTTGAGATTATACAACCACATATTTTGAAAAACATCAAATCCTAAAATCCAATACACCTAACTTCCTTAACACTTTAAGGAATGTACTCTTTCAGTTGGGCATTGAGAAAGGTGGATTGCAAGTACGGGAAAAGTACAAGAATTGGTGATTCTTGGAATTCCACTTCAAAGAAACATTTGTACAAGATCGAAAAGATGGAAGAGATAACAGTATCTTGAAGATTAAGGAAGTAGATCGGGAAATTTGATGGAGTTGGCTAGGCAACATCTAACAGTAAGGCTCATTATCTACAGTGGAAGTACCTGGCTTGGTCCCAAAGTTTTTACCTAGTAGGGGTTTCCCCATCATCATATTGGTGTTACTTATTGTTTCCATATTACAAACTGCGATATTCAAACATAGAAAATTGAACTTGTATGATTAAACATCTAGAAACTATTAAAAAGTGACTTGTTACTTTTAAGAGAATAATTTCGCATGTAAGGTCAAAATAAATTCGATAAGTAAACGAACTTTCAAGTAGTATCAGAGCCTGGATACATGTCCTAACCTTATTTGTCAAGATGAGTAGTTTCTTGTCCGTCTCGCCATATTTTAATGGTAGTAATTATGCATATTGGAATGTCAGGATGAGTGCTTTCCTTAAATCTATGGATGAATAGATTTAGTTGAGTGTAATGGTTGGATATCCCTAGTACTACAGTCGATAATGTAGTAATTCCTACTTCTATTGCCAATTGAACTAAAAAGAACTTAGATGAGTACAATTGGAATAGTAAAGCCTTACATGCTCTATTTATGGCAGTATCGCCTGAAGAGTTTAGGCACGTGTTAATGTATGAGGTTGCTAAAGATGTTTGGGATATCTTCGAAATCACTCATGAGGAGAGTAGAAAGTTTAATGCTTTCACTACTAGGATTACGAGTGGATTCGATAAGGAAAGTAAGAAAGGTGAGGACATAGATAGTGGCGAACAATGTGGAGAAGTTTCTAAAAGCAAGGAAGATATCCACGAGGCTTATGATAAAATGTATGAGGAGAGTCTTCAGATTCTTGTTACTAATAAAGCCTTGAATTTAAATGTAGAGGAGCTTATATTAGAGAAAAAGAAGCTATTGAAGTGCATCCAAGAATCTATCTCAATCTTGAGTGAATTGAAAATGATGAATGAATAAATTGATGAATGAATCTTTATATACTCGAGTTAGGAATCTCACAAGTGAGTTCGAGAAGTTCTATACGAAAGTCAGTGAGCTAATCGCCGAAAATGAGAATTGGAAATCTAGGTTAAGAACCTTATGAGCGATCTAGAGTATTTTAAGTCTCAACTGTTTTCTTTTCTAGTGGTTCTGAAAAGCTAGATAACATCTTAGGAATGAGCAATCCGGCTGGTAACAGAGGATGTCTAGGTTTTAGAGAGAATACTGTTAGTACCTCAAATGCCACTTTTCTTCCCGCTACTGACCAGCAAGGACGGAGTGAAGGGGGGGCAGCACTGGGCTGTAGCCCAGTGCTGCCAAAGCCCATGTCCATTACAAGCCCAAAAAAATGTGAGAAATTTTTTATTTTTAATCCATTAGCCAACCCATTTTGTATATTCAACCTCGCCCAAAAATTTATTTTAATACGACAATAGCCCATTGCCCCAACACCCAATTATACAACAAAATGAACATAATAGGACCATAAGAGAATAAGAATTGAAACCCTACCCTAGGACCTGAAGCTCCTGAACGGCCGAACGCGAAACGCCCTCATGCACAGGTTTGAATTTATAATTTCTTTGTTTTAAATTTCAGTTAAGTTCATGTATGTGTTTGTTGTTTGGGCTTCTGGGATTAAATTTCAATTAAGTTCAGATTTATTGTTGGTATCAAATTTTATTTTATTTTAATTTTAATTTTTTTAAGGTTAATCATGTGAAGGGCTTCTGGGGACTGGGCAATAGGACTCTAAATTTACTCAAGAAATACAATGAAATACTAGGGCTGGGTCACTGGAGAGAAATTTCAACTATCAAAGTGGGACTAATTGCAAGATATTTTGAAGAGGACAGAGTTAAGAGGGGTATGGCAAAATATATTTCACAATAAGTACAATAGTGACTATTATGAGTGAAGGAATGAAGCAAAAAACACATGGACAGAGAGTTGCAATTAATTTGCTTTCCATAAATTCATCAACCTGACAACCTCGTATCTTCAAATTTTTCGATGATGGTTGGAGTATAGCTTGATGCTGTTAAAGAAGAGTTTGCCATTTATGGTGGTATTTTGTGAAGGGTAGCGACTGTAGACAGTAGACTGGTTCGCGACGACGTTGACGAGGTGGCTATAGATTTGGTTTTGGGTTTAGGGAGTCGGGTGGGGTGGGTGTAGGGAAGTGATTTTGAGTTAATTTGTAGAAATTATTTTTTAATTTCATATCGATAAAGGTTTGTTCGGTGATATGGAGTTCACATGTACACGTCTCTTTAACATGTGAATGAAGAATTTTAACAACCACCGACTGGCCCACTGGGATTATGTAATTAGAGTTTTGTGAATTGCGTTTAGAATAATTCTGGAGTTTGTCATTCTAAAAAACTTTTTATTTAATATTTTTTAGCTTTGCTGAATATGTTTAGTTTTAAATTTTTAATAAGATTTATTTGTGGAACTGTGTACTTTTTTTAATTGGAATTTGGCTTTAGTGAACCCATTAACGAGTTATGGCATCACATATTAATGGCACTTTGGACATGAGCAAATCCTTTGTACAGAGAATGAAGTTTAACTTTGATATTTATGTGTTTTAGTCACTAATTTAAACCATTTAAAAGCAGAAAGAGTCACAATTAAAGTTACTACAAATTAATGTCTGTTCGATTAGGTTTCTTTCCGCCGTTCTATTTTCCTTTCTGACATAGTTTTGTAATAGGAATGCTTAACTAATTATTTTCTTAAGCTTAGAGCTGTGAGATTATAAAAATTGAGATATTCTTTTGGCATTTTAGTATCAAAATGACAGTTAGCATTTAAGTGTCAAAATGAGAGTTACCTAACTTACCTTGTCTTCATGTGATTTAAATGTTGTTTACTTTGGGTTTGGATATATCCTTCACTTTCATTCCCTGTCCAGATTTACAATGCATCTCTCTCTGACTCTCTCTCTCGATCTCTACAGATTCAGTGATCTCATTGAATAGGGCCGGAAACAGTTTTATTGTTTGGGATTTTTACAAATTTTCCACTATCCTGCTGCCTAGATACTTCAAGCACAGCAATTTTTCCAGTTTCATTCTGTCTGGTAAATCTGATACTTTTTCTTGTAAGTAATTGATCATTTATAATTATCTTCTGCCATTTATGTATACTTATATTTAATACGATATTTGGATCTGAATATGAGTTTATGATAATTCTTAGATTTGGTGTTAATTTTTAACTAGTTATAATATTTTTGAAAGGTTAGATAAGTGGTTAAAATGTTGCTAGTGGATTGTTTTCGGATTGTTGGGATACTGAAGTGTTTTAATTTTTTTTATGCTTTTAGATTTTAATATGGAACCAAATCGACCTCTTGCCAAGAAAGGAAGAACCAAATCGACCTCTTGCCAAGCTTGCAGAGAAATTTTATCCTCAAGATTTTACACAACAAAATATTTATAGTTTGAAAGTTGAGTTGCAACATTATCAGCATAATGTGATTTCTGAGCCTCGATTTCAAGTATCTACACTTTCTGTTTTATGTCAAGAATTTGTTGCAAGTAGAAGATCGGAGAGTTACGTCAATTTGACTAAATTGATTCGTCTAGTATTGACACTGCCTGTTTCAACAGCTACCGTAGAGCGAGCATTTTTTGCAATGAAACATGTGAAAACGAAAATTCATAACAAAATGGATGATGGTTTTCTTGCTAATTGTATGACACTTTACATTGAACGAGAATTTTCTTTGAATTTAGATTTAGATTCTATTATTGATGAATTGTATGCTATAAAGTATCGTCGGGTGCAACTGTAACTGATAATATTAAATTATGACTTTTTTTGTTATTTATAAATTTTATTCGTACATTAAATTTCTAAAGTTTTGTCCCCCGTGACATTAATTCCTGGCGACGTCCCGGCTGACCAGCCTGAACATGTGCCTAACGTTAAACCTAAAAATAAGGGATTTGTAGGACAGAGATCTACTAAACAGCGTAGGGCTTGTCGACTTAGGAATAGACGTCAGCGATCACACAACATTAGTCCTAGGTTTATCCCTACATGCTTTCCCCGTGGTAAGTTAGGACACATACGCCATAGGTGTCATCAATTCCTGAATAGATAGAGAAAGCTTAAAGAGGAATAAAAATTAGGATTTTGTTGGTCAGATTGGATTCCTTACTGATTAATAAGTCGTTCGACCAAGTTGGTGACACAGCTGTATGGGAATTGTTCTCCCACTATGCAAATTTGGATGAAAAAGAGTGATGCAAAACTGTGAAGTAGACCATGATATTCTTAAACGTAAGAGCATTATTTTACCGAATTGATTAGGTAATTTTGGTGCATGCTGATGCTTATCACTGTGTGTCATTGATCTATTCATGCATCTCATTTATTTTTTTGCTTTCTAGGTTGTTGTTTTAAACATGTGCATCTTTGTTGTGTTTGCATTGGCACATGCACTTTTCGTTGTTGTTTTGTATATGATTTTTTTATAGTTTTATGTTCTTGGAGCATTCATGTTTTTCAATATAAAAAAAATAAAAAATAAAAAAAATTGGGGAATGGATTATTTTCTACAGCATGATATATAACATTCTTCAACTTGTGTGTTGTGACCATATATAGGCTTTGATTGATGAGCTGTAGCACATTTTCCATTACTTGCTTAGGTTGTTATGGAGGACTTAATTTACAAGTCTTCATTTACCATCGGCACTGCACACACTATGATATGTAAGTGGGACTTAACTGCGTGTCTGAGATTTGGGATGGTCGTTAATTGTTAGTAAGGTGACTCTAAACATGAATTGACCAAATTTGTTAGACCTAAACTCAAGTATACCCCTCATAATAAAAAGCTCAATATCTTATGTTCTTCTTAGGAGCCTATTTGACTTGATCAATTAAGCCGCGTGGTATCTCAAAACCCGGTGCCTATGGTATATTGATTTAGGTTAACTGGCCTAAAGCTTGCTATAGGGATCATCTTAGTCACTTAATGGAAAATGAACTGCACTTAGATATAAAAATTGGTGAGCTTTAAAAATATTGAAAAATATACTCAAAGTTAAGGGAAGAAAAGAAAAGATCAAAATATATGCAAAATGAGCTTCATTTAAAGGTCTTAATGTTCTTAATGATTTGACTTTCATAAGTAGGAGAATAAATTTATTAGCAGTGATATTTTACATGTCCTTTTTCACAAAATTAAGGTTTGGAGTCCTGCCTACAAAGGATTAGTGATACTTTACACTCATGAGTCACTTATATAGTTTACTCCATTTTAACTTAAAATGAGTATGTGGGAAAGCTTACTAATCATTGATTATACTTGTGCATACTTTCAACTTCATTTTTAAATTGTTATATATTGTTGCTAAAATTGAGTTTGAAATTACATCCTTCGTCATTTATGACAAAAAGGGGGGAGAGAGTATATACAAAGGACGAAGAGGATATACATAGGAGAAGAAGCTTGAAATTGAATTTTGGGTCTAGGGTTCATTGGGAGAGAAAGATAGATACATTTTGATACTGTATAAAAATGTTGAAATTTGCAGTAAGAGGAAGAATTTGCATTCCATATCATAATGAATAGCTGTTTGATTTTTGATATTTTGTGATGTTAATATTTTGGTTGGTGTTTTGATTGACATTGATGTCACGTCTCAAACTAGCATGCTTATTTATGATTATGAACTTTAGCTGTTATATTCTCTATAACACGTGCATTTACACTTGGTATTTGAGTTTTTGATTTCAGGAAATAGATTTAACAAGAAATGCAAGAGGCAGTCATTTAGTTTGAGTTTGAGTGGATTAGTTTTTTTACTTTTACTACCTTGACTTTATTGTATAGTCTTGTCATGGAATGCCAAAGGGGGAGTTTGTTTGGTTTCTGTAGTATTGGCAATTATTTAGACAAAATGATTATATAAAAGAGTTGTAAAAGTCAATGAGTCTGCTGAGATGTTGTAATCAAAGTTAAATTATTGAGTCCTAATTATAGCTAAAGAGTTGAAGTTGGTAATATAGTCCTTGAAGGAGTCCAAAATGTCTGAGAAGATCATTTATGATCATTGGAATCAATTAGAAGTCTAAAGGATATCAAAGAGCTATACAAGTTATGTTTCAAATTCTCAATCATAACTTGTAAGACATTTTTCATATAGAAGACATTAGTATTTGTAATCCTTTAATTTAGCCTTCCAACACATTTTATATCACCTTAATCGGACATCGGGAGAGAAAGTTTTGAGAAAAATACTGACAACTGCTTAGTTGTTGCCCACTTGTCCCTGGCCTATCGCTCGAGCGATAGGTCGAGGAGCAAACTTCTATTTTACTTCAAACACTTGGTTTTTCAATCATTTTCATCCTAAACACTTTCCCCTATATATATATATATATATATATATATATATATATATATATATATATATCCTACCTTATGAATGTCCAAAAGTATGGTTGTTCATTGTGTTGCCTCTCTATATCATTCCTTGAAGATTCAAGAGCACATTCAAACCTTGATTTCAATCACTTAGTTCTTGAGATTATACAACCACATATTTGGAGAAACATCAAATCCTAAAATCCAAAGCTCCTTACTTCCTCAACACTTTAAAGAATGTACTCTCTTAGTTGGACATTGGGAGAGGTGGATTGCAAGCATGGGAAAAGCACAAGAATTGGTGATTCTTGGAATTTTACTTTGAAGAGACAATTGTACAAGATCGAGAAGTTGGAGGAGACAGCAGTATCTTGAAAATTACAGGAAGTAGATCGGGAAGTCTAATGGAGTTTGTTAGGCAACATTTAACTGTAAGGCTTATTGCCTCTAACGGAGGTAACTAACTTGGTGCCGGAGTTTTTACCCAGTTGGGGTTTCTTCGTCATCATATAGGTGTTATTTATCGTTTTCATATTACAATTTATAGCATTCAAACATATAAAATTGAACTTGTATGATTAATCATCTAGAAACTATCAGAAATTGACTTGTTGCTTTTAATATAATAATTTAGCACTTAAGGTCAAACTAAATCAAATAAGTAAATGAACTTTCAGAAATGGACTCTAAGTCCCATGTCCATCAAATGTTTATGGATAGATATACAATCATGAGGGAATGGTCCGTAGTTTGAAATTGTCTAGGGCACAATAATTTTATAACATCAGGATGTTAAACTGCTCATGAATTCCACTCAAATTCCATTTGATAAGATTGATAGAAATATTAAAGGCTTCAAAAACTACCACATCACTTTCATTAAGGCTAACTGAATCACTTAAAGGTTTGTGTGCCTCATCATACACCCCTAGGGTGGAAAGTAACAATTGCCTAAGAAGTTTCGAGTTAGTGGAAGTAAAAGAGTGAGTAACTGCAAAGTAAAGCAACACATTAGTATACAGTACTTCTTCGAAAGAAGAAAAAGAAAAATTAGAGAGATCGTCACTAAATCCGAAACTCTTAGTATCAAAATCATATATGTATTTTGGGAGTCACTTTGGGAAAACTTTGTAAAAAACACTATAGAAGTTTAAATCTTAAACATAAAAGAAAGTGAGGCTTGAACACGTACCTAAGGAAAGATTTTGAAGAAATATAAAAGCGGACCAAAGACATAATTGTAAAACAATAAGCCAAGGAAGAAAGATCAACGAAGAAAAAGTAAGGAATATACAACAGAGAGAAATACCTATTTATAGGTTTTGAATGGAAGGCGTGAGTTGTTGAAATTATGTCAAGCAATTGTAATTTGTTGATTACTAAAAGGCTTGTCAATATTAGAAATGAATGGTCGAGATTGCGCGTTAAACGTACAGAGGCCTCTAACGTATAAACACGCAAATAGGCCCAGTAGCGCACATAAAAAATGGTAGTAATCATAGTATGTCCTCTTAACATGGTACACGTCAACCATGAAAAACAAAGAGGAGTATGCTTTAGTAATTTCTTCTACAAATATATACCTCAACCATAAATAATTACACTTGAACTAGGGGGACTAATAAAATAAAATTAATATTTTCAAGAAGTCCTAAATTTAATATGAATAATAAAAGATTAGACTTTTAGAATTATTTGTTGAGTCAAACAAATTATCCTATGAGCTCATCCTTCTTTAGGCGAAGTCTAAAAGTATGCGAAGGTAGCTAAAACATAGAAGGCTCGTATAAGAAAGAGGGCAAGCCATCCCCCCTTCCTAATGGTAGAAACCATCACTAAAACACACGTAGGTAAATATTAAAGCATGACTTCTAAACTAATATATAACAAGTGAATGCACCATAGAATTAGTTATTAATCCACTAATAAACAACTGCCACCTGTTACTTTCTAGATGACCCATTCATTCCATAGCTTTAAAGAAAATCTATAAATACTCCTGTCTAGGAGAAAGGTATACAAGCTCAAATACGTCCCTCGAAATAGTCAATTTTCCTCTTGTTCCTATTCCATCATCAAAATCAGAAAGTAGAGGATGAGAAAATCTTGTCTAAGTGAGAAGAATTTGTTCAATATAATTTTGTAGTCAACAATATCCCTATCCACCACTTTGGAAACCATGACTACAGCTATATATACGTTTCTAGAATTCTTGGTAGTGGAAAACAGGTCTTCCTATAATGTGGTAGTTAGAAAGCTAGCATTAAAAGAAATAAATGTTATATCTTTCATACATCACCTCGCAGTAATATTCCCTATGGAAACTGGTTATTGACCATGAAAAGGAACCAATGAAGGTCGTGTAGATGTTTCTAAAGTGCCATTCACAAAGTCACTCTTAGTCTGAGGCTAACTCAATCATGATGGTGGATACCATAATGGCAAAAATAGTGATGGATGATTTGCTATCCGATGTACCCATAGATGGTACAAATATGGAAACGTAGAGAAAAGTATTGTAGATGACCTTTACCCACTGCTTGTTGAATCGAGATCCCAAATGTATCTAATTGAGAAACTCAGAAGCATATTTGCAAGTCAAGATGACATCAAAGTACTTCGGGTGTAAAAATGAATTATTCGAAGAAATGGGAAATAAACTAGAGAAGTTTTTGAAAAGAATTCTAAATGTAAATGCATAGAGGCATGACGACATGGTGAAAACTGAACTAAAAGTGTTGCACCACTCAACGAAGATTGACCCCAAAATTTTTCCTCATAAAAAAAGAAGAGGACCCTCAATTCGAAGAGATATGCAGCCTTGAACAGGTTGACAAACTAGTATAAAATGGCTTCATCTGAGAAGCACATTATCCATGTTAGGTAGCAAATTCATTCCTTGTCAAGAAGCCCAATAGAGAGTGACAAGTATACATTAATTTATGGACTTGAGCAAGGCATACTCGAATGATAGCTTCTCCGTGACCAGTTCGTTGACGTAGGGCACGCCCTTTTAATTTTCATAGATGTCTATTCAAGCTCAATCAGATCCCATGTACGGGTCGAGCTAGGAAAATACATCCTTCATAATAAATCAAGGCCAATAGTGCTAGAAGGTAATGCCCTTTGAAATCAAGAATGCTTGGCCATATACCAACAATTAGCTAATCGAAGGTTCATATATTAGATTGTGACAACTATAAAGTCGTAGATGATGTGTTGATCAAAAGCTCGAAGGCAAGTGAGCACCTAATCCAAGTCACAAGCACATTCAACATTCTTCGATACTATCAGATAAAACTCAATCCAAGAAAATGTGCACTCAGGTAGGCAAGTTTTTAAGATTCATGGTTACTGAAAGAATAATCAAGATAAACCCAGAAAAGATTAAGGATCTCTTGGAAAATAAATCTTCTCAAAAGCCTAAGGAGGTGAAGAGCTTGAACAAAAGGATAGCAACATTTAGTGAATTAGAATCAAAGTCCACTGACAGATGTCTACCTATGTTCAAAATGTATGAAATTCATTACCTTAAAATCGATCTTTCATGTTGGATCATCAAGAAATTCGAGATCTGTGGTGGAAGTGTACCTGAATCAGAATGGTTAATGCAATAATCGAATCATATGGTTTACTCTTCCAAATCAACACGTAGTCTCATTTTCTCTCTGGTGATGGGATGCAAAAGAGAATGAACAAGAAACCTTACAATATCTCTATGTACGTGTGATTCGATGACCATAACCATTTATATATACCGATGCCTTTTGACCTAATTCGGCCCATCATAGAATTAGGAGTCTGGGCCCGGTCTCTACACATATGGAACCCACACTTTAATTGGATGCATAACGGCCCAAAATCGAAGCCTTATTAGATCACTTTAAATGGGCTCAACCGAATTTGATAGCCTTTAATTTAATGCACAACAACTCACACATATAAGCCCATTGACTGAGTAAAAAATCCTTACAATCTCCCACTTGGGCTATATGTATCACCTTATGATTGTGCATTAAACATAACCTTATGAGTACTCATAATTTTGCTATCATTACTGAATGCATCCCCAAACAATCCCATCCATCAATCATATCAACATAGGATCAAAGCGACTTTCGTTACTTTTATTTTAACTAAACCCATCAATGGTCAAGTATATCGATATAACCGAATGACATGGATCAAGCATAGATGTGTAGTATGGAAATTACATGTGATGTGATCTGTAACATGCCTATTTCCAACTGGTTTACCTCAATACCTTAGTGAGATCATTTTCAAATAAGTTCAGAGATAATAAACCAAAACTTTATAACTGAAAATTTCTTTAACCTTAAACCATATCCAAAATGACAGTATAT